TAAAATTAATTTTATCAGCTTGTCTTCTGAAGATGCTCTGTGTTGAAGGATCAGTGGATCTGTGCTCAAAAATGCAGCCTAGGTGGAGTAGTCGAACACAGATCCACTGATCCTTCAACACAGAGCATCTTCAGAAGACAAGCTGATAAAATTAATTTTAAAAATCTCTATTGTTCGATACAAGTGTGTATTAAACCTAAAGCACTGTTCGATGCGGTTCGATACGGGTACATGTATTGTTGCACCCCTACTACTTTGTGAGGGGAATGCATGTTTTTAGGCGGGGCTACGTCCCACCTGCCCTTATGAACTGGCTGCACTTGATATTTTGGTAGGTTCCTGGGACAATGACCTTTTTTCACATCTTGTAAAAAGTTTCTTTTTTTTTTGTTTTGTCCCTCCAGTAGACAGCAGCAGATTAATCAGAGGGAACTCCTGTAATTCCTGGGCAGTCAAGCAGAAACTGTGGCCAAATCTCAGTAAAAATTATGGCTGAATTTCACACTTGTCCTACATAATTTGTATTTTCAGCCCAGACTTGAGTCTCAAACATCCATTATTTGTAAGACGGGGTTAGAGCTGAGGCCCACACAGATAACAGATGAGCCCTACATTTGCTCTGCATCCTTTCTGCAGCATTATGACCGACAGAAGGAGGGACTGAGTCTGGGGAGGGGAACTGCTGTGAATTTATCACCCCTGTTCGAGGCACACTCTGTCATCCCTAACTGTGCTGCTGAACTGGTTCTTGTAGTGGAGCGGTTAAATTTAGCCTTCCCCTGTGTGCCAGTGTCTGGTGGGGGGGTGAAACCATCCCAAGGTTGAAATGTCTTTTCCCCTCTATTTTTTAGTCTGTCTATAGCAGGATCTCTTATTATTACCACTGAAAGAAGACGGGAGACAGAAGTCATTTTTACAGATATTGACATATTGATATTTTATTTGACATATTACCTGAGCGGAATTTCCATTACACGCTCTTAAGTTTGAACTTTTGTGATTGTGCATAGCTTATTTCCTTTTTTAATCACTTTTTATTAAATTTTCAACTTTAATATATTAAAGCGACAACACAGAAACATCCCCTGACATGACACCTAGTGACAAACTAATGATAGACAAACAAGAGGAAACTGTAAATCAAGTATGCAGCAATGTAAAAAATGTGGGTTATGATCAAATGAATAATATAAGTAACAAAAGACTCACATGTCGAGCCATATAACTGTGGTGCTCATCTCAGAATGATGTGACAAACTTTAAGAAATTTCAGGTTTTTCAAATGAAACAGCCTTACCAACCAAAGTAAGCCTGTTTTTTTTTTTTTTTTTTACGTTTAAGAAATTAAAAGAGCTCTTTGTACA